ATAAAGCTGCCTGTTACTTTCTATAAATTGAACTAAAAGAAGTTTGTTTAGCTTCCTGCTCAGCTTCCAGTCTGAAGAGGAAATGTTTAACCTGCTTCACTTCTCCAGCTGTTTGGGAACAGACTTTTGTTGTTCTGGAGAAGCTGAAGCATTTATTACCTGACACACAGACACCATACTTTTGCTGCCAGAATATTTTCCTCCTCTGAGATTCACTGTCACTTTCTGTCACTCGGACAATCAAAAATTGAGACCTCCAAATTAAAGGAGCTGCTCTGATAACAGCACCTGTCAGGCAGACGTCCTGCAGGGTTTCCGCAGGGGCTTAAAGTCTGAAATTTCAAAATTTAAGGCCTTATAAAGTCTTAAATTTGCTGAAGTTTGTTTTAGGTCTTAAATAATTTCAAACGGGTATTTATTTTCCAACATCCATGTAACTCTAACGCTCATTGAAATACCCCTGCAGTGCTCGGGGGTGTGTGTGTGTGTGTGTGTGTGTGTCCTCCCGTGGCGGTGTAGTTCTTTGTCGCTAGTCCAAATATAATTCACTATATTTCGACTACAAAGCAGCTTTCAGCAGCTTTGGATTGTACCACAGATAACGTCTTCAGCTATGGCAAAGTGCAACTTTATCGGTTCTTGGAACAGTCTTTAGCAACGTATTTGAAGCCTACTGTCACTGCTTAATGAATGAGCGCCAGTACTAAAATTTCACACGATCATTAATGATTACTAAACTACAGTAACACACAACACATGGCTGTCTCGCTCTCCTTGTTCAAAGGATGAGCAAATGTGAGTGTGTCAAAGTGACGGTGAAAGTTAACGGAGGACAAGATCAGCATTAACTTGTCAGGTTATAGCTCTGTCCTACTGTACATCTTGATAGTTAAGTTAAATTAAAGGAGTGACCCGCTGAGGTTAGTAACGTCAAACCAAGTTAAGGATGCAAACTAATGTTAGTCCTTTTAAGATAATGAGATTATTCTTTTGGATTTTGATGAAGGCTACAAATGAGATTCTTATAGTAAGACATGTTGCCTATTTATATTAATTTCTACAAATGTATAAAGCAGTAAATTAAGATGCAAAAGGCAAACATGAACAGTCCTATCTGTAATGATTCTGAGCTCATGTGTCCTTCCTGCCATAATAAGGTGGTGAGGCGCAATGACTGTAAAATCACTGTGGAGAGCATCAAAACTAACAAAATGAATTTTCCCAGATATAATGGTTAAAATTCAACCCCAGTAGACTTATTTAGCAAGTTTAGCTTATTATTGTCTTCTCCCCTGAGTTTCTCCATCAGCAGTTGGTTAAGTTTTATAAAGTCGCCAAAAAGACACAATTGCGTGGCTTATCAGTGTCATTGTCCATCCCGGTGTGTCATTGTTGACATTGTCCAATGCCAATTTTGTAGACCCCTCTCAACCCTAATTTGAAAACATTGATTTACTCTGAAAGTAATTGTGTGACTGCATTTCCTTTTTGTGCATTTCTTAAGTCGTGATAGTTTTTAAAATTTCATTCATAATGGCCTTAAAAAGGTCTTAAATTTGACCATGTGAAACCTGCAGAAACCCTGATTGTGATCGTGATCTAGTCACTTTTGAGCTGCATTGTAAGTCAATCTGGAGAAAAGTGTCTTCAAAATACCATGAATATACTATGGTGTTTCATCCCAATTGGGAATTTTAAGAATTACACAAATGCTGGAAATTATGCACGCTTGCTATTCATTAGGTAGGGTACTTATTGTCCTTAATTTATGTAAATTAAAGGGCAAATAAAATATTTTGAGGCACATTAAATACATGACAAGTATCTTTGAGGGAGGTTTATGATGATGAAACTAATTGATGAAACTGCAGGCGGTGTCTGGATAAAAAAAAAAAAGAAGCATAGACTGGTGTTTTTGTGGTGTGCACTGTGTGGAAAAACAGACTAGGAATGAGAAAGGTGTTATAAATTCAACACAATATGGGGAGAACCATACTATACAGCACTGAATTCTAATGAATCACAACTTCCTGAGTATCACTTAAAGATATCCAAGTCTTTGAAGAGAGAATGGATTTGAAGTAAATAGGTCATTCGCGCTTTGCAAGATAACGATGTAGCATGAATAATTATACACACAGAAATGCAGCAGTAAATGTATTTACACTATTTTGGACACCAGAATTTTGAGAGAACAGATTAGTGCACCCTCTGTTTTTTGGGGTGATGGTGGTCAAATTGTTTTTCCAAGCTGAGCATAAACTGTGTAAGGATGCCTCTGAATTGATGGTGGTTCAGTGTTTGCTGACAAAAGATCCAAGACTGGATCAGTAGAGGGCTCAATGTAATTTCAGTAGAGCGTGGGATATGTGATCAACGTCATATTCATTTTGTCCTTAGCAACATACAGGTCAGCTATTGTCAAAGTACATTTACCTAATGAGACAAAATGAGGAACCTACTGATGTCAATGTTACATATCTTAATCATTCAGACCTTTTGGCTCATCTGTATTGTTGGGTCTGGTCACTTATTTTCCTCTTGACAATATGTTCAGGACAGGTGAGTTGGCTGACCAACCAAGCACCGTAATACCATGGTCAGTAAATCAGTTTCTAGTAATTTAAGTCCTGCTGGAAAAGGAAATCAGTATCTCCATGAAGCTCGTCAGCAGATGGAAGCATGAAGGGAGCTAAAATCCCCTGGTAGACTGCTGTACTGACTCTGGACTTGAAGACACAGTGGACCAACACTAGCAGATGACATGGCACCCCAAACCGTCACCGACTGTGGAAACTTCACATTGAACTTCAAGCAACACGTCTGTGCGTTGTGGCTCTTGATGCACTGACCCCAGGCTCAGTCCACCCCTTGCGAAGCTCCCCCAAGTTCTTGAATTGGCTTTGCAGGACAATCCTCTCAAGGTCATCCCTATTGCTTGTGTACCTTTTCCTAACACACTTTAACCTTTCAGTCAACTTTCCATGAATATGCTTTGATACAGCACTCTGAACCTGCCCTTTCAGCAATGACTTTCTGTGGTTTACCCTCATCGTGGAGGGTGGCAGTGAGTGTCTTGAAGTTTTCCATGATTGTGGTTGTGTGTATTGAACCAGACTGAGATTAAAGGCTTCTCTCGGGTCAACATTTCTGTACTATACGTTCTTTATTGAAATACTTTGAGAGATGGATTTTTGATTTCCATGAGCTGCAAGTCATAATCATCAAGCGAAAAAAAGATTGAAAATGAATTTTCCACAATATTCTAACTTTCTGAGATGCACCTCTATGTCTTATGTTACGGTTCTGGAGGTGTGTGTTTCATGTTTCCTATTTTACTTTGTCTGCCCCTGTTGTCCTGGTCTTGTCTGGTGCAGGAGTCTGCAACCTGCGGCTCTGTAGCCCCTCTCTAGTGGCTCCCCAACTTTGTCAAAAAATTTAAATGAATAATTTGTCAATTAAAATGTGCATCATCATGCTACATCCTGGTGCTGAACTCAATAGTGGTGTCTTGAGTGAGCCTGTTCTCAGATAGCTCTGCATTCAAAATCCAAAAAAGAAAAATCTCAGGGGAAAACAGAGTATTTAATGGTGTGGGATAGATTTGTATGCTTTCACCACCAATCCTGCTGGCTTACTAGAATGTTTGCACCAAAACATTGCATTGGAAATGTAAAGTTACTTAAAGTAGCCAAATAATCAGAAAATGACATAGGCCTAATTCTGCCCTCTTGTGGTAAAAATATGGTCATTTAGACCTATTAGTATTGTTGAAAAGCTAATTTAGGGGCGGTTCCCCAGACAGAGATTAAGGCTAGTCCTAGACTGAAAAGGCTGTTTAACGCAGACTAACAGAAATCTGCTTTCTTGGTCATGTTGTAAAATAGTCCTAGACTTGGCCTATTCCTGGATAAACTAAGCTGATTTCCTGAAGGAAGATTAGAAATACTTAAGGACTAAATTGAGGCTTAAATTAAACCACCCAGGAGGCACGTTAAACTTCAGTTGTTTGTTAAAGAAGACACATGAATTACTTGGAGTATGTCAGTGAAGAACAATGAATACAACCAGTTGGACAAGTTCTTGCTGTGGAGCTTATTTCACTTTTGGAACCCAGGCTTTCATCTGTTACCCAAAGAGGATGGCCTGTAGCAGTTCTGCAGGTGCTCATAGCTTTGCGATTTTTGGTGGTAGGGAGGTGAGGCTGTGCACGCATGCCTTTTGTTAGTGTTGCTATAAGTTTAGTGAGTTTTCTTAAGTCCATTTGTTGAGTTATCTGTGTACTGCAGACCATTGTAAATTAAACAATCACCTCTGGGAACATATGATGTTTGAGTCTGCCTACCTACCACCATCCTAGCCACTCTGGTCAGGCTACACCACACCATATTCCCATAAAATGTCCCTCTTCTCCAGATGCTGAGGAATACAGGAACTGCAAGAACTGGTTTTCTATAAATGTCCAAGGTGTATGCACTCACCAGTTACAGTATTCAAACATTGTTGCATGTTGGAAAGGTGCAACTCATGATTCCTGGATCTTCCATAACTCATGTGTTCTCAGTTTGAAAGAGGAGATCACAAGGGAATATTGCTTGGTGACAGTGGGTATCCTCAGAAGAAATCTGTTTACACAATACTTGCACCCAACAACTACTGAGCAAAGGCATTACAACCACGCTCATATGCGTACTAGGGGACTAGTAGAGCGCATATTTGGGGTTTGGAAGAGTCTCTTTCGGAAAACACTTCGATTCCAACTGAGAAGACGCTGCACTGTTATCGTTGCAACACCAGGTCTTCACAGCTACCTGAAACAGCATGGATGCCCAGATCCCGATACAGGAGGATGACAATCTAAATGTACCACCATTTACAACAGACCACACAGAAGGACTTTCCTACAGAGATGTTTTTGCATTGTGTCACCTTTGACATTACCTTTTCATACTTCTGCTGGGATCTGATACATTTTCACATATAATGAGCAAATTACTATATATTAAAGAAACACCCAAAACGATTTAATAAGACATTTCAGATTCACACATTGTTGTGAGATGAGACAGTTGCATCTCTCTTTCCTTCATCTTCATTTCCAGTTTTACTTGGATCTTCATTTCATGCTCCTCCCCAAGGTACTTCAACTTGTGTTCATGAAATTCAATAGCCAACTTTGTGTGGCTTGGGACTCTTGTTTTGGTGACCAGTACTGGTAGACACTGCCACCCTAGCTTCTGAGGATGTGGAGGGTAAGTTACCTTGCATCACTTCAGGTATGTCCTTTTGACTTTCTCCTTGAAACAAGAACAGTTCATATTTAATCAAATAAATGCATATTAAATAAGAAATGTTTCACATCAAATGAAAGAGAGAAGTTTGAAAGTTGAGTAAGAAATGCCAAAATATACCCATTGTAGTATGCGTGTTATCCTTCATCTGAACTGTCTAGATGGTCATCATCTGGTGTGTTCTCCAAAGGTTGCTGGTTCTCCATTATTCTGTCAGTAAGTCATCCAACTGATCAGTAGCTTTATTTGCAGGTCCTCCATCAGTCTTAAACCTCTCTTTGGGCTTCTGCAGCAATTTTTTTTGGGTTGATTTTTATATTCTTCCACAAAACCTGTATTGAATACCGAGTGTCAATCCATTGATATTACAAAACAGTAATAAAATACAGCTATCAAGGTAATAAAAGTTGACAATTCTTACCTGAAGCTGTTGTATTGTTCTTATGGATGTTTGTTCATTTGCATTAAATTCATTACAGATGAATTTCCATGCATTCCTTTTTGATTCCACAGCAGATGTGTGCCGTTTGTCTTCAATGCCTGGGTGTCTTGATACTATTGTCTTTAAGACTTTTCTCATGCTTACTGAATTTTTTTTTTCTTTTCTGCTGCCATTGTTTTCCTTGAATTTACTTCTCCAGTTCCTTATGTTTTAAGCTTTTCTGGGTCCATTCCATGTTTTATAGGCAACCTCAGTCCAGCTAATTCAGACTTGCACAGGAGATTTTAAATTAATCTCGTTTACTTTAGTTCAAGACTTCATAATCCAGGTGTTCTTAATCTCTAATTAGTCTGTGTTTCAGAAAGCCGTTTATTGAGCAGTGATTAACTCTAAATTAAGGCCCAGTCTTGGCCTAATTTAAACACTGTCTGGGAAACCGCCCCTTAGACTAATTGGCTGTGGTACCTGCATTTAAAGTGTTATTTTTTTTTCCCCCTTTCTCTCCAAAACTGGCTCTTCAGGTAGTAAAGATTGCTGGTGATCTTCTGATGAGAGGGGCAGGTTGATAGGTGGTGTTTTTTTATCGACGAGGCTTGGTGCACAAACACAGTCAATGTCAGACTTTTTAATGTGAAGATGAAACCATATTATCATCTTGTTGCTGCTGTTTACATTCACCCAGACGCAAATTCAAAAAAATGCACTACAGAATGTTCTGGGTGTATACCACATTTATCAGTAAATAGCCTTTGTATATAAATAACTGTACTTATTTTATTTTATGTTACCATATTTTAAAATAGGCTACACTGAATGCTCACTTGTAGGAAGAAGTAACTACAAATTTTGTTTCATTATACAATCTTGTGCTCTATAATGACAAATAAACAACCTTGTAAATGTTTTAATACCAAGCACTACAATGTCCCAAACATCTGAAAACAAAAATGTAATTTGTAAAACTTGATTATACAATATTGGTGAACCAGGAGGGCTGACCGCCATATCAAATATTTATTTGGTGATGTACTAAATGTTTTATTTAGTAGGAAATAAAAGCATCTTCTGCAATTTGGTGTTCCAGATTGAGCTACTTAAAGCTACAACTATGCAAGTTAGCTCCCATAGCTGTCAGGGGGAAAGATGATCCTTCTGCTGTTAATTGAAATTTGTGTGATACTACTGTGCTCACTTTTCATTTTGATGCATAAAAACACAAATATTGAGTGAAATTAGTCTTTGCCTGTGTGACTTTTCTGTTTAGAAAGGACTTCATATTAGTGCACAAAATTCCACCGGACAGATGGGTTTATTAATAAGAATCTATTAATTATAAAACAAGACAATTTCCAGCTTTAATCATGGTTTGTTTAGTTTAATTGCTGCTTAGATAAGCCGATCTTCTTCCTATAATGACTTTCCAAACTCGATGATAAAAGACATACAGTGTTTTGCAGCCTCCATTAAATAGAAGTTTCTAGCAGTATGACATATTGATACTACACGTTTCATTTTCAAATGAAGCTCTGGGAAATGTTTTCTGAAACTTGATATTACAAACTGCTTGTCATCAACATCTGCATGCTACTGTAGTTCCACTCATTTCTACCACTGGACAGACAACTCAGTCTTCACTTAAGTATTCCTTAAATAAAGTTGAAATAAAGTTCTTTTGAGCAGCCTTCATAAAATATTCTGTGTTTTCTATATTTAGGCTATGGATATTAATTATTTAGTCAAGGTGCCCCTTTTCACATCTGGAGGACTGTCAAAATGATGGAACTAAACCTGACATACAGACGTGGCTGAATTACCAGCTGGGCAAAGTAGGTAATACTCCAATCCTGGGGGGCGTAGAAACAGTTGTATGTTAACTGGCCAATGCAAATTTAAATGATATGTTCATTATTTTGAGGATATCTAATTGATACAGTAGGCTGTTAGCTTCATATTAACTTAAGATAAGCTTTGGAACTTTTCGCACTAGGACTTTGGATTTCGTCCCCCATCACTTACATTGGGAACAGATTAGGAAGGGATCCAGTCTTAACAGGAACAATATTTACAGTGACCGATAATGTAAAATACAATGTAAATACAGTATATGCACCTGGACCTGGAACCAGTGGAGTGAGGCCAGAACAGGTGTCATGTGTTCACACTTGCAAATTCCAGTTAAAAGACGAGCAGGCGAGTTTTGGACTAACTGTAGGCTTAAGAGAGAGGACTGGTTAAAGGCAATGTAACGTGCAGTATGGTAATCTAGACTGGTTGACGCCGCCTGGCTCTGCCATCCCTTCACACAAAGCAATCCCAGTCCCGGCTATTCTCATCTGTGACACCACGATGGTGGAACGAGCTACCACACACCATCAGAGCAGGGGCGTCAATCTCTAACTTCATGAAGCTCTTGAAAACTCATCTCTTCCGAGAACACTTTTTCTTATAACACCTCTAACTCCTACATCTAACATGCACTTCCTGTGCTCTTCTTCTTCTATCCCCTGCAATTATCTTGTATTGATTGCACTTTTTGTTAACTCTTACTTCCTTCCCTAGGTATTTACCCCATTGATGTGATATGTACTATGAGCTCTTACTAGTATTTATTGTCAGTTGTAGATCTATGGTTGATGCTCTGTTGATGCTTGTATGTTGTTCCTCAAATGTAAGTCGCTTTGGATAAAAGCTTCTGCCAAATGAGTAAATGTAAATGTAAATGGTTGAGATAAAAGCATGAATGATGATTATGAGATAAAACAGATTTAATTTCAGATGAAAGCCTCAAGTGATGAAAATGGATTTAACAACAGTATTTGTCTGTTTGTCAAGTTTAAAATCATATTCTATTTTGTATAATCTATCATAGTCTATTTTGACACCCAGATTTGTGACTATGGGTTTCACATATTGTTGCAGGTAGCCCAGGTCCACAGGAAGCACCCAACTGGGTCCAAACACAATGACCTCAGTTTTATCTTCATTCAGATTTAAAAAATTTGAAGTCATCCAGGCCTTAATATCTTTTAAACATTCTAGTAGAGGTATGAGGGAGTTGTATTCACTTCTTCTGAGGGGCAGATAGACTTGAGAGTCATGTCCCTAATGTCTCCAATTTTATCATGACTTTTTAAACTCCATAATTTGAGTTTCATTAGCCCAACACTTTAGATTTATAATGTGTAACATTTTGTCTTTTGTTTGTGAACGCTGTTGAATGATAAAGTGTATGTCTGAAATCCTTCAACTCAAGTGCTAAATAAATAAGTGAATGTGCCTCTCTCTCTCTCTCTCTCTCTCTCTTTCTCCTCCTCCTCCTCCTCCTCCTCCTCCTCCTCACACTCTCTCACCTCTTCTTCACATCTCACCAGTTTAATGTCTGTGCGAAGGGGGACCTACGGGGCTGCAGCGCAGTTACCATCCTTCTCTGTGGACCCGCCATCTGTCAACCCCTTCTCTGTAGGGACAGGAGCGCGCGCGTCCAACAACTTTGGCATTTGTTATTTTGTTTATTCGCCTCATTTGTTTTCCCTAATTTCCGATCATGACCACACACAGAGTGCGTTATAAGAAGCGGGTTGCAGACCAGCGGCGTCAAGGTGAGGTTTATTTCTCATGTAAATATTTCAAACAAAAGTTACAGGCTACCAGTGACTTCAGGTTTAAATTATTATTGCATATTATTGTTGTATTTGCATCTTTATCTGCTTTTTTTTTTTTGAAGTATTTGACAAATCAAAACTGGCATTTTAATCAACCTTAAATTCATCAAAATAAAATAATGATAACATTAAAAACATACTTTTTAAAATATAGTACGAATCAAGATAAAATCTAAATTAGAGAAACATGCTGAACTGTCTGTTAGGTTAACTCCAACAATGCAGCTAATACCTATTAGTCACATTACCTTGGATTTGCAGGGTGATGCATGAGATGTGGCAACATAATTAACCTTCTAGAAGTCATTAGCATCTATCAATGCAGTGTGTAATGGCGATTATCTTCCACAGTCACCAGTTGATGAGAATGACTTGAACCATGTTAGTGCAGCAATAAAAGCGATTTTCCCCAACGCACAGAGGGGATCCGCCATTTCCATGCCAGTGTTTTTTTTCATAATTGGTTCATCATCATCCACAACCAACAGAAAATGTTTTGTGTCACCAAGGTTTTGAAATATTCTGAAGGAACAATAATATAGACAAAATCTGGTCTCAATTCTTTATTTCATCAGTTTATAGGTCTGGAGTCTCCTTATATGCTATGAGGTACAGTTTTTCAAAATAGAAAAGTGAAAAAGTAAAAATGATAATTATACTACTAATAATGAAGTAATAAGAAAACCTTCCTTGTATAGCATTGACCTTACCCACTGTGTGTGATTAATTAGTAATGCATTTCTGAGCCAGGTTCTGACATTATCAGATTAACATGTGTGCCCTGAAAATTTTCAGCTCCTAAATCTCCTGCTGATGCATATTCCCCTCCCAAAATGAAACATTTGATGTTGTTTTAGACAATTAGGATGTGTCATTTCACCAGTCTGTCATCCAAGTGGTTATATGTAGAGCTGAAATAATTAGTACTTTAATGAATTAGTAGATGGACAGAAAATTTCTCAACTACTATTTTAATAATCATTTGAGTGATTTTGCAAACAAAACAGTCTTAGCAATCTATTACTTCAACTTCTTAAATTATGAAGATTTGACACTTTCCTGACTGACATGTTACTGTAAAGGGTTTTGGATTAATGGTTGGATAACACAAGGAATATGAAGATGCCACTGTGGGTTCTGTGAAATTATAATGGGCATTTTCCCCTATTTTCTGACATTTATAGACAAACAATCAGGAAAACAACTGACTGATTAATCAATATTGAAAATAATCCTTAGTTGCAGTCCTAGTGATATGTATTTAAATATCACATTAGTTTTATTTAAAATATCCTCCATTATAAGCATGCCAGTGTAAAAGTATTTTTTAAAAACTTGGAGTTGAGAAAAAATTAGGTTGCTACACGAAATAAGAAATGTTAAATGGTAGGAATCATCACAGAGCCATTAATCAAATGAAATCCTCACTTTTTGTTTCATCTTTCTATTTTTATAGCAGGCCCCAAGTGCTGAACAAACCCAGAAATCAGCACAGGATGTGTTGACATCTCCCATCTCATTTCCCTCCAGTTTTCCTCTCTGAAATGGAGCTGTCTTTGCAGGTCTCCGCTTCAAATGTATCCCAATTGTTCCACAACACCAGCATGCCACTAAATGCCACTGGGAATTACACCAATGACCAGTTCACTGAAGCCAACCTCTTTGAAATCCTGGGTCTAAAACGATCGCCCTTCTTCCTCCCTGTGACCAGTGTTTACATTGTCATCTTCCTCACCGGCTTGTCTGGAAATCTGCTCACATGTGCAGTGATAGCAAAGCACAAGAAGATGCGAAACCCCACCAACCTCTATCTGGTGAGCCTGGCTGTGTCGGACCTTCTGGTGCTTTTGTTCGGGATGCCCCTGGAGATTTATGACCTGTGGCAGAACTACCCATTCCCCTTTGGCGAGTGCGGCTGCTACTTCAAGACCTTCCTCTTTGAGACAGTCTGCTTTGCCTCAATCCTCAATGTCACAGCTCTGAGCGTAGAGAGGTATATAGCCGTGTTGCACCCGCTTAAAACACGGTATCTGTCAACTAACCAGCACGCCAAGCGGGTCATCAGCATCGTATGGGTGGTGTCGATGATCTGTGCCATCCCTAACACATCACTGCACGGGATCTTCTACCTGCCAGAGAGGATGGAGGAGTCGGCCATATGCACTGTGCTAAAACCCCTGTGGATCTATAACATGGTCATGCAGATTACCACAGTGTGCTTCTATTTTGTGCCCATGATGGTGATTAGTGTGCTGTACCTGGTGATGGGTCTTCATTTGGGCAGAGAAAGGCGGCAGCCCAGCGGGAACTTTGGAAAATACTGGAACACTCGAAGGAAGATCAGTGTGAACGGGCGAAGGAGGCAGGTCAACAAGATGCTCTGTGAGTTTTCTTTCTCTCCACCTCTCTTTAGAAAACATGCATCACTGTGGGTTCTGTGCTATGATTTGAAAGCAGGTCCCCTCTAATCTGCATTATCAATGCCAAGACATGTTCCCAAAGACAAAACATGAGGAAAACACAAAGTAAATAATCTCAGGGGATTGTCAATTCTTTGTGTGAATCATTTGTATTCTGAATGGTGCCTTTATGTTTCACACCTTCTAAGCTTTGGGGCTTGATAAGATTCCGTGTAAAGTGTAAGCAAAGTTCTTACAAACTATAGTCCATCTACCCCACTCTATGGCCCTTTAATATAACTGATAATTGATTAGTTCTTATCTTTCTTATCAGTCAACTTTGTAATGAGTTTCATTCCACACCGACATACCCATTAAGGGCGGAAAAGCTGGAGATTTTAGATCAAGGTTGTAATCTAAGGCGTCCATTATCTACTTTTCAGGCCACTCATAGAGCATAGAGATTGCTGTATTTAATGTCTTACTTCTGTTTCCGAACTATAGATACTTTAGAGACTTTACTAGTGGATCCACGCTACGTGAACAAAACCAGTAGAGCGATGTAGACAACTAGATGGCTATGCTGATTGGGTGAATTGTTTCCTTGGTGATGTATTGTAAACAATGCAATTGAGTTGTGAGTACTTGAAAAGTTTTATTTTATGATTATGTTATCTTTTGGCTTGGGTTTCTGCTTCTGACTTCCAATCAAACTCAGAAAACATTTTGAAACCTATGTGCTATCTTTAATGCAATATTGTTTTAATGGTGCAAATGGAGAAATTCATAGGCTATTTCAAATTTGGCTATAGACTACAGGGCATTTCAAAACTGAGAAAAAATATTGTGGATTGTGATTGCGATTAAATAGATTGTAATTGTATTTTTTCATCCAGATTGCCCACCCCTAATATCCGTAATTTAAAAAGTTTTCCACCACATGTAACAAAATGATAGATGGTGTTGAGTTCCAGTAGAAGTCATCTTAAAGGGCTACTTTCTGAATCAGTTTCTTACTTTACGTGATGAAATTCAACATAATAGCATTACTGGTATTTCTACATGAGAGATGTCAGGGTTTTCTAAGGCCTATCAGAATTTAACAATAAAGAAATCAAAATCAGAACCTGATGACAGCTGACACTTTATGTGGAAATGTGCATAAAACTGCGCAAGTCATCTGGAATACTTACATTTGATGCAACTGTGCAGCAAAACATGGAGTCCAGCTTTGAATGTTTCACTCAGTTTTAACATCCTATAGCTCTAATGAAGGGCTGGAACAAGATGATACTGCTTGGTCCTCCCCTTTAAAATATGATGCTGTAGGTACCCTACTCACATCACTTCTGGATGCTCCGTGGTCAAGTTAGCATAATATATATAGACTAATTGGTTAGGTATAGGAAAAGATTGTAATTTTGTATGTTAAGGACATTACGTGAGTTAAATCATTTACTTTTGATGCAGAGGTTTCACGCAAGACAGCAGCTTCATGGGTTAAAGTCCTGTGTTTGATCGTCCCATACATCAATCCATCCATCCACCTCTCCTCCTCCACTAGCGGACTTTGTGTCTTACTTTTCTGATGGCAGGCACATCCATAAATTACACTATATGGCCAGTATGTGACAACCTGGGAGTCAGACTGGATGCATTTTACAAATGACTGAGCAAAATTACCATCAAACGTTTTTAAGATGTTATACCCTGGTGTGGCTTCATGTTCAGTTTGATATTTCAGACGAAGAATTTAACGGAAAAATAAATAAAAGTATTTCTGCAATTACAACATTCTCTTGAGTCATGTCCTTCAAAGACATCACTACTACTAAGCGACATGACTGAACTATTATTTTAACAGAATAGAATAATCTGCCTGTTATTTTGACATATTGATTCATCATTTTGTCACAAAATAGTGAAGATTGTTGCTGTGTCCCACAGCCCAATGAGATGCATTCATAGTGTTTGTTTTATTTGAATAACAGGCCCACACCCAAAGATATATTTTTTTACTTTCATATATGACAAAGAAAAGCATAAAATCCTCCACCGATTATCAAAATAGTTTAGGTAAAATATTCTAGCGATCGACTAATAGATAAATTTAATAATCTTTGACTCAATAATGTGTGATACAAAATCTATCTAATTATACGTTACAACATTAGTAAATTGCCTAACTCACTCAGGTTGATTGCTTCTTTTTATGACCACTAATGTGCTTGTTCTGGAAGTGTTCTTTTAAAGAGATGTAGTATGTATAGTTTGGGAATTTTGGAGAGCCCTTAGGTGAATGTTCATATTCTTGATGTTATTATGTTGATTGTCTTGTGTTGTTTGGGTAATGTTCTTTTTGGGTTAGGGTTAGGGTGTCTCTGATCTTCCCAGTAGGGGTAACAATTGGCATCAAAAATACATAACAATAAAAAAGAGTAGCAACAAAGTAAAGTGTTTAACCTGCAACAACAAAAAACCTTTTTAAACAGCCTTATTTTCTCTGGCCTGATCCTCTAGCAATCGTGGTGGCAGTGTTTGGAGTCTGCTGGGCGCCCTTCCACATTGAGCGGCTCCTGTGGAGTTCCATCAGCCAGTGGACCGATTTGATGCACAACATTTATCAGTACGTCCACATCCTGTCGGGCATCTTCTTCTACCTCAGCTCAGCAGTCAATCCTATCATCTATAGTCTGCTCTCCACAAGGTTCAGGGAGTGTTTCCGAGAACTTGTGTGCTCCCAGGCAGAGGATAATAGCTCTGTCAGAGACTCACCGCCATTTCCTAAGACTTTACAGGATCCCTCTGTCTCAAGCCCCAGAGCTCAGGCTGAGGGTAAGGACTCTAGCACTTTCATCCCTTTACTGTCTCCTAACATGACACCTAGCATGGACACAAAGATCCTCACATGTGCATGTAAAGAGACGACCTGCAAGACTTCTGTATTCTAACTGAGAGATTTAATTTGAATAAGCTAACAAGCAGATTAAACAAGCAGTTTGACATTTTGGGAAATGTTCTTATTCGCCTTGTTGATGAAAGTTTGATGAGAAGATCGCCAGGAGGTGGTTAGCTTAGCTTAGCATTACTACTCCAGCAAGACTGGAAAAAGGGGAAAACAGCAAGCCTAGCTTTGTCTAAAGGTCCAAAATCAACCTACCAGCACCGTTAAATCACACAAATGAACACATTACATCTCATTTGTTTAATCTGTAAAAAAACAAGTGTTTTCGACATTTGACATTTATCAGCCTATTTCCCAAAATGAAAAAGTTGTTCCTTTAAACTTATTACATGTCATTAAAAAGCTTGTATGTAAACTTTTTGGATTTGGTTTGACTTGTTTGTTACTATGGATAACATTGTTCAACAGTGCCTGCATTTTCCACCTGCTGTCTTACTATTTAACTGCTGTATGCCTTAGAGGGTGAATCTAGAGAGAAAGTGGGACAATGTGATCAGAAGGATAATGTCTTATACTTGATTATTTTTGTCGTTATTTGGAAAATTGATGTGTTGCTGGGCAGCAAAATCCTGGTAAAATGTTCTCTGTGTTTCTGTGAAACTTGTAAAAATAACAGAATGTAATGCTTTACTGTGAGCTTTTCCTAATCTTGTTTTGACTGATACTGCATGGCCAGCAATCATGTACATGATTTGAGTGATTGAAAAGCTCTTGTTTGCTGTGGTTGCAAAGATGAAAACTGATTATGGCTATTGTGCAATGCCTAATTGAGAAGCTACAAAATAAATGTTGAAGCTGTCCACACATAGCATAGGTTTAAAAAAAATAGCTATTTGCTGGTTAAGTTTGATGTTTTGTTACTTTGATAGCTGAAATATGAATGTTGCGTTATTCTCAAGTGTTTTATTCATCATCATGATTGAAATTTGTAATTGTTGCTTTTCTGCAGGCTACATCAAAATAACAAGCCTCAACAATAGCAGAGAATCAACACATGGTATAATAGCAATTACAAATTGCTAACATAATTTGTTTCAATATGGCAATACTGCATGTTCCAAATTATTATAATTATTAGTTTTCTTACCATCATCATACAGAATGAGTTGTGACAACAATGCATTTTATATTTAAATGCAATTCACTTTCAATATTTCATCAATAGCTGGAGGAAGTCGATACAGTAGATACATGTTTAGGCAGGATTGTATTCACATTCATTCCATCAATATCACTCATTGCACCTGATGCTTCCAGACTAAGCTATATTTTCAATATCTATTCCATTTCCATCTCACTCCCAGACACACAATCTAATATAAAAGGAAAAATATCAGCCTTTGCCTTATGAAGGTTATTTTCGTACATGTTCCTGCAGCCGTCAAGGCAGTGTATTATTCATATTGGTGTTAGAGGTCGGGACAAATTTGAGTCCATTTTTAGGGATTAAACAGCAAAGAGCCACACAGGCAACTGAAAGCCTCTCTATCCTTAATCGCTTCTTATTGGGGATCCAAAATATTTTGAATCTTGGTCACATGTAAGTGCATGTCGACATTAAATCAGCAGTTCCTTACTTGTGGCAACTCCACTGCCAAGAAAGTGCCTTGATTTTACCTGTCACAAGCGTAATTCATGTGTACACAAAGAAATTATATATTTTTTTCCTTTGCCAGTGGAATACAAACATGTATGAGTTGATGATTTCGTGGAACTGCAGTCATAGTCATGGAAGAATTTAAAAGGAGATGCATGTAAATATTCATGCAAATGAGCACAACGTGAGTTTGATTTGAGCAAGTGTTCTGCTGTTGTTTCTCATGAAAACTCAAGGACAGGGGAGACCAAGACAACAAAAGCGATTTAAATTAAAGCAGGAAACAAGCACACAAGTACTGTATCACCATAATGGGAATGTTCAGAGGCATAATGAAGGACCAGTGTAAGGGCGACGTTATATACATCATTCAACAGATAAATTAATTCTTAATTTCATTTTCTGTGCAAAACATTATACATATTTCCGTCCCTCTTTGTGGTCTCTGTAAATCAGAGCACACTTTGACTACCAAAACGACCCCAGCTTTTCCATTTGGTCACAGCCACTTTTTTGTTTACAGTCCCTCACATATCCAAAGGACACACCATTTGTCTTTAGGGCGCAGCATTGCTGCAGTTCAGCTCGAGAAGGATGGCCTGCGGGCTATTCTGACCACATTATATGTGTTTAGTCCTGGTGCATCAAAACCAGGGGACAAACCCTGCTTGTCAAACGTGTAGAAGTTAAATAATTGGCCATCTTGAGCTTCCAGAGACACTGAGGCCGTGCCAACTTGCAAAACACAAGGGTACTCTTTTTCAAAAACCACTCTGAACACCCGGTCAACCAGGTAGTTGAGCTTTATTGTCCTGTACTTCTCTGGGATCAACTCTTCAATCTGAGGCCCAAACTGTTGCATGATGAGAACACCGTCTGGCCCGACTTTGATCTCATAGAAGGTGATGTTGCTGTAGGTGAAAAAGCCAATGTAAGGTTCTGGGTTTGGGGGAGCAAAGAGGACCTTCTTGGCCTCCCTGAAGGCTTTTTCTATGGCTGGGATGATGTGGTTGTAGGCCTTGGTGACCACATCCTGGTTCTGAGACCGGCTGCCAGCCATTAGCACCACCAGACCGAGCTTCAGTCTGGGCACCAGGGAGAAAGTGGCAGAGTAGCCGTCCAGATCACCATCTTTACGCACCACCTCGTAGCCCATCAGCTCATTCACTTCCCACGGCGTCCCGGTACGGTTTGCAAAGTAGTCCTTATCACACCTGAAGAGTGGGGTCAGCATGATCTTCAGCGAGTCTGGGTCCAGCAGCTTGCGGTGGTAAGCGCCCAGCAGCATCATGGCAAGCTTGGCCAAGTCTGCGGCAGTGGAGAACATCTGACCCGAGGGCCGGTACCAACCCAGATCATAAAGCGGGGCTGGTTTTCCGTTGGAGTACACTCCCACAGCCGTCTGGCTTAAGAGACCTGGGTTGATGTCAAAGCCAGTGTCCTCCATCCCAAGCCGGTCCAGAATGTTGTCTGTAATCCACCGCTGGTAGTCAACAGCGGCAACTCGTTCAGCCATCACATGAGCCAGCAGTGAGAAGGCGAGGTTGCTGTAGTGACATCTAGAAGGACGCAAGTTAAAGAGATAGACAGTGTCTCTGAAATCTGGTTGTTCATGCAGAAAAAGAGAAAGAAACTATTTTCCATGTTAAAACTCTCACATGGCAGACGTTTGCCCTCAGACTTTCTGTCTAAAAGCCTTTCTATTTTGTTAGGTTTAAGCACAAAATTACTTAGTTAGATTTAGGAAAAAAGAAAGGCATGAAATTTTTCTGCCAGAAAGCCCTGATGGCAAACTTCAATGTGCTTGAAACTGGTGACCTATCTTTTAGAAATTGTTCAATATTTTGTGAAAGGTTGATACCACTCTTCAATCTTAGCTTAGCATAAAGACAAAAAACAATGTGAAACAGCTAGCCTGGCCAGCTGCTGTAGCTTACCGCACAGACATAAGAGTGGTATCAATCTTTCCATCTAAGATTCAAAATTTATTTTAAGAGGTTTCATCAATGTTGTCCTTGTGGTGTGATATTGATGGTTTTATAAGGTTTTAATATTTGATCAAGTCCAGAAAGCATAAATCTTCAACACCAGAGTTCAGTGCTAAAAGGCAACTCCCCTGCAGGTTCAATAAAAAGCTTTGGTCTCTGAAATATTAAAATTTCGTTTGAATGTTTTTGTTTACTGAAAGATCAAATATTTTGCCAATAATGAAGGCTAATCAGTGTAATATGTACAGACAGATAATGTGTAGAAAGATTTGGGCCAGTTAGACTTAGGCATTTAATCATAAGCTCTTCTCAGGTACAATGAAAGTAATTTTTACACAATGTGGGAAATATAGCATGTTTTATGTCAGTCAGACTGTAAGCAATAATGCTCTTCAGTGTACATATTTTGACCATTTTTCAATTAGTCTCATCAGGACATCAGTGAAATCACAATCACACTGATATTAGAAAGCATTTCAGTAAAACAATTTTTTTAACAATACCACTACTATTCCAAACAATAGGTTTTGCCTAAAATGTGTCCGAATAGAAACGTTCAAGCTGTGCAACTAGTTAAATCTGTTTTTTGTTTGTACAATATAGGGTCATGGACATATTGAAGCATAACATATCTTACTTTGTGCCTGGGTCTGCGACAAGTACATCATCTTGTAGCAGATTGATTGCAGATTGTGTTTTTCCTTTCCAGAGCAGATTTGTGGCTCGCAGTCTCCTTGGTAGGCCTGGATCAGCACGGTACAAAATTAGTCAATACAACAACTACTATAACAGATGAAGTGTATTTGTATAACAAGGCATTCTTCTTCTTCTTTGTATCCTGCTCAAAGAAATCACTTTTTATTTCAGTCTGATGGTTATTTCTTTTCACTTTCACACGTGACAGTACTTTCTTGGTATGTGACAAGTTCTTTGAACATAATTATTATGTTCAGCCTTGATACCTTGATGATAAACTGAGACATGGTAGGACATTTAAAGATTAATGATTGCTCTTGCCTCAGGCGTTTCATCTGTATTTCAATTCATTACACAGAGTGAAGTATTAAAAATGGAAAAGCTTCCTCAGATAAACAGGTGCCTGATTATGCATGGCCATAGCAACTCTTTTGCTGATCAATATATGCATGTAACTGTTGGAAGACCCCATCATGATGAAGTATCTCAACAGCTTAGACACTAAATGTTTAATTTCACTGTTGCAGGCATCTGTTGCAATTTCTAAATACAAACTAAAATCTCACAGATGTTTACAAAATTTCATTCTAAACCAGCACAGGTTTATTGATCAAGTAATCGATTGATTGTTACCTTATATTGTCAGACAGTAAATAAAAAGAAAGAACATTAATCTTTAATACCCTGAAATCTTGTAAGAGTAAACTGCAACCAGCATGTTTTTCTTGTTTTTCATATTGATCTTTGAAAACTTTATGTCAAATATACAAAAAAACTTCTCTTCTTCTTCCACTTTTGTTTAAATGTAGGGCTGAAATGATTCAATTAAATCGATTAATTCTTTTACTAAAAACGCTAATTCTGCATCGATGCTTTGTTTAATCCATGTAACTATATAGCACACTGTTTCGCACAGACAGTTGGGGAGGGGGGGGCACCAAGCAAAAGTACTTCTTAAATGACGCATCAATTAATCGATTAAATAATCTGTAGAAGCTTCGAGAGCTAAAATCATTGTTAGCTGCAGCCCTATTTCAGTGTTTTTTCACAGGTCAGCTCCTGTGTATTGATGTGTCCACATCAAGCACCACAATAATAAGAAAGCATATTAGTATATAATCATTGAAGTTTTTCAAGTGCGGACCCACTTTTTGATTTTGGCTGATAGAAAAGATACATTTTCAGACAAAACTAATTGTCTCAACATTTAACACAGAACTATCTCTGATTAGATCTCGAGGTCTTGTATCATATCACAGCAGTTGGATCTTTAGAATTCAGTTAATGTGAAGTTGCTCTGTAAAATCCTACCTGAGAGCTGGCTTGCCATCCTGCGCAGGGTGACTGAAGAGGAGCGGATCTGAACCTCCCCGCTGTCCAGAAATATCAGGCCATCTGTCACATATTTCAGCTCCGAGTCTCGCGACTTGCCCAGAGGGTTTTTGATGGTGAAGTTCTCCACATATTTCTCCAGCGGATCATCTAGGGAGCCAATCTTACCATCCTCCCACAGTTTGTACATCATCAGAGTTGGGAAGATTTTGGATAGGCTGGCAATTCTGAAAGACAGATAACAGAGAGATTGTTTGTTTTACTCTGAAAGAAACTACTTCAGGAGTGTCTTGTTGGCACACTAATGCACAGATTATTATTATTCATGTCTCCCCTCTCTGCTTTTCTTTTTTTTTTTTACTTTCCATCAATTCCCCATTAACACTGCGCAGGAATAAAATACATGTGTTGTTAATTTGGTCATTACCGATTTTATCCAATAGCAACATGCCATCATCCATCCATCATTCCATGTGATCCAAGCCCATAGGTGTCTATTGCATTCCTGACAGTCCTATCACTTCTATCATCTTGTGCTATCAACCCAAGTGTGTGGATATCTGTCTGGCAACATTCCTTGATATATCCAGCCACTCTCTGTACAGGCTTCTTCTCCTCGATAATCCATTCATTGTGCCATGTTACCATGTTTCTAGCAACATGCACAAATGTGGCCATTCCACTGGGAAATACTCATTTGCTCTTTAGCCGAGAGATAGAGAAGACGATTGATACCATTCTTTGTATGATAAATGTAAAGCTATAGCCTGCAGCCGGTTAGCCTAGCTTAGCATAATGACCAGAAACAGGGAAAAAGGTAGCCTGGCTTTGTCCAAAGATAACAAAATCCACCTACCAGCAGTCCTAAAATTCACCAATTTTAGACGTTATTCCACGTTTGTTTAATCTATACAAAAAGCTAAGTGCAAAAATGACATGTTGCGGTTTTATGTGGGAGTTACATGCTGGACTATTTCTTAGCCAGGCTCAGGGACCTCCAGCCGTTTATTGAACCTTACATTGGCCTTTTCACCTACAGCAACATCAATTTATTGATTATACATTGATATGTGGATTATTCATTTTTGTACCTGGGCATTATATGTTATTTTATATTTTTCTGAGGTAAATTGGTAATGCAAATGAGGCGCGTTGCCACAAAATCAACTAGCTGAACTTATATTAAACATTGCTTACCAATAAGAGAACTTATTGTAAATGGAGAGGATTAGTTAAATTGCAACTTAAAAGACTAATTTTAGAAACCTGAAGGTCAGAAAATTAGCCTTAAACTTAGACTTAAAGCCCCCCTCCAGTGTATTTTGACATTTCTATGATATTTCATATTTTTTTGAGTCATTTCCTTACAATGTTGATTACCCACATTGTTCGCCAAATATTTTTTGACAAATGGCTTAATTTTGTGCTCAAAGTTGCAAAAGTTGCTTAGTTGTTAAAATGGGGTTGTGACGCAGACTATAGTAATTCCATAAGTCACACGTCATTCTCCAAGCTTGCGCAGGCGCACTTTCATGCCACGTTAAAAAACTGTCACGCCTTCACGGCTCGTTAAGTCAGAGCTTCAAACCGATAAACATTGTTGTGAGCTAGCTAACAAATTTATCATGTCATTTACTTAGAACTTACAGTAGGTATGTCTCTGTGTCTGATTGTTGGTTTGTCTTTCTAGTTTAGTTACACGAGTTAACTTAGTTGTAGTTAGCCAGGTGTAGTTAGCTAGCATAGTTATTGCAGAAAGTTAGCTAACAGAGGGTCTTCATTTTATTTTTTTGTTTCCTCCTCTTGGTTTAGTGTGCTGTTCATTTTCATTATGGCATTTGTGCGTGTGGTGTTGGAGGACAGTTGACAGAAAACGCGTCGCACTTTCACCTGCCACCGTCTTATATACAGTCTGAAACATGCATTTTACTGATGGCCGTTTTAGCAATGCATCGGCGTAGGCACCCCCCACACCCCCGCGGTAAAGTAAGCGCACCATAAAACGTAGTGGGAGTTATCGTGTGCAGTGCCTGACAGGACCATCGACTGTATAATTGATAACAGCTGATACGCGCACATTAGTTTCTATCATGGGTAAGTAAAGTGTACTAAACTTTACAGTGTTGTAATTTTAACACAGCATATCGTTAGTGAACACTCCAACACTACAGCCACACTCTGTTTGAGAAAGAACGTTAACCAAAAACAGCAGTTAAAACTGGCTGGAGGGGCTTTAAAGATGTAAACCAAACAGAGACAGGAATACTTGTTTTCTAACATTTAGGTTTTAGTTTTGAAGCTCTTCAAGGCATTTAAAATGGAGAATTTTTTGTGTAAAATTTTTGATTTGATACAAATTTATGTTTATAGCTATTACTTATTCTTTGACATAAATAAGCAGACTGTTCAAATATACTATGGTCTCTGACTCCACTGAACCTCCCTATCTGTAAATACCTGATACAAAACACAATGGTCCAAATAAAGATCCACAAATCCCTATTATACTCAAGGGACGTAGGTAGGTAAATATTAAAAAGATGTAAAGGTGTTGTATAAAGCAATTTCTATCAGTTAAATTCATCTGAAAGTATGTGAAAATATGACTGAAAAACAGTGTCAAATTGAATTTAAAAAAAACAGCAGACACAAACTAATTATCAGTGCTCACAGATGGTTTAAAGCCAAAACATTCATATATTTTTGATTTCTAAGATGGGTGGTCATGTTGAAAGCTTCAACTGTGTCCCCCTCAAAAACAAAATTGCCAGTGGTGGAGAAAATTATATATAGTTGTGGGGAAATTACTTAAATGGAGCCCTTTCAGGAGATACTGTGACTGAAAGAGCACTTAAAGTACATGAAGTACTGAAAGAACTCAATAAATCTTTATGCACCTATTTAGACGAGTGCTGGAGGTACTTGTTATGAGCAATAGTTTTCTTTGGCTTCAAATTGACTGGGGCTGTGGGCTATAGTGTACATTATATGTTTATGTTGTCTAGTCAAATTTGTTATACACTCCCATTTTGTTGACAATTTAAGCAGGACATTTAGATAACTAACATTTGATTTTAAATTTGCAATTGTGGGAATGCTCACTAATACAGAAAACGGCCATGGTGATAAACATCCAAAAACACTTAACAATTCAATAAAATACCTAGATGAAGGTACATACAGAAAGAAAACAGTAATACAAAAGGCGGACTTCAAAATTTCAAACATATGTCTTATAAATAAACATTTTATCAGATTCATTATCCCATATATCAAAATCTATATCACCTTTGGTGTTATATAATAAAATAACACATTTAGATTGGTAGAGGATTAAGGAAAGTACTGTTTGTCTCAGGTTAGGGGGAATTTTGTACACTACTTTGGGTGAATCTGTGAATTAATTTTAAGGAGTGCATCAGAAGATTTGCCGGTGTTTTCGTATAGTTGTATTTACCTAGCACACCTAGAACCATTATTTGGTGGAGATTTTTTTTCAGGGCTGTCTCGGGCAGCTTTTCTCCAACTCTCATCATACATTTTTCCCTAAATCTATATTCTAATTCACCTACGTATTTGTCATAGTGAATTTGTTTAGTAAAGATTCTCCTGATACAACTAAACTTGCTGATGGGGAGGCTTTTTTCCAGGTGGAGTGGACGGAATGATTGTCAACGTCCTGCCATTATGATTAATGGTAGTTCATGGCAGAGATTGAGATACTCATAAAAAAAACTATCAACATGACCATCATACATCATGAACATATATCATCCACAAAACATTTCTGTAGTTTCATGTGGTTATGGAAGAGATTTTAAGAGGCAAGACAATCATTAGCAATATAGGCTACGTATAGGGAACTGACCTTGGGAGACATTTTGTTGCCCACATTTTTAGAAAGAACAATCTCAGCTAGTTTCCTTAAACAATGAGTACTTGGTATAATCCCAGGCGGTCTTTTATCCAAAAATTGGGTCAGATCATTTAAGCCGCCCTAGACTGCTCACTAATCACAAAGTAGATAATTAGAAATTATCTTTTAAAGGGGAATTCCACCAATTTTATAGCAAACGTCACGGGCCGGGTGTACTACAGTGTGTGAACATGGTTGTATATTATCTGTGGCTCTGGAGGAGCTTTCTAAAGAATGAGAAAATAACCCATGATGCTATCAAGTTGTTTTGTAATTGTAGGATCTCAGTATACTAAAAGTCAGCACTATTTCTCGGCCTCTGCGGCATTGATTTTCCCCAATCTGTCTTTTGCACATCCCCCAACTTTAAGGCAGTGCAATACCAAATTGCAAAACTGTCTCTTTATGTCATCTGTTTAAATAGGAAAACAATTTAAAAAATATTTTTCTTATTGTGCAAATAAACCTTACTCAAAGCATTTTCATTTATTAGTTAAAATTTCTTGGAGCAAGCTATTTTTCAGAACATCTTTAACAGATGCTTTCAAAAAGTTGTGGGGACAAAATCAGCCATTTCAAAATGTGGTGGGGACATGTCCCTAGCGTCCCCAGTGTAAATGACACCTATGGTATGCAAACACCATTGTGAGGTTTCATGTTGGTTTTTGACATGCTGTCCCTACTGCCACCAAGACACTGGGCTTCTTGTTTTTATAGGTATTCGGTAAGTACAAAACTTTAGATTAGATTCTCCAAAATCTGGTGTAGCTCTCCTCTTTTGTTCATTATGGTGTTAATTATTTTATGTGATTGAATTAAATTTTAACAAAATAATGTGTTAAAGAAATAATAAATAAACTTTAACTGCCAAATCCAACTAGGTTTATATAGCTTTCCTTTCCCCTGGAGACCTGCACTGTACCACTAGCAGTTACTTTAGCCTTTTTTGAGTAATCATCAGACATTCAGGGTAACATGATCGCCATGATGCTGCTTCATCAATTCAATCCAAGGAGGTTACTGCACAGATGTTTACAGGTTGAATAATATTCATAACCAGAGTTCATGTGCCTATTACAATTAATTAAGCTGATGTAATAATGTTTATCCTATGAAAACACATTGCTTCCTCTGCAGGACAGGAAGCAATGTGTTTTATGTTTCATACTGCAGCAACATAATCAATAAAAGAAAAACTGGCTTGCGAGAAAGAGCAGCGATAACCACTGTGGTAGGGAGGACCATGTAAAGATGACTACCAAAAACTTTTACTGATAGAAAATTTACTAAAGAATAGGATATTCATTATTTCTACACCTGAATTTTATTCCTGCCCGCGTGGAGAAGGCTGAAATCACATTTAAATGTTGAATGGTGTGAAACATTGCAGCTGCTGCTATTTGAATATATAATATAATAATTTGATTAATTGTTCAGTCATAGTTAAGTGCTCCATTTAAATAAAACTTGCAGAAAACATAATTAAACACATTAACTAACTCAAACCTTGTAGAAACTGTCTGCTTCATCTCATGACCTCAGTATATGTAAAATCTTGGCTTCTGCCCTGATAATCACAGGAAAATAAAAAATACAAACAGAATTTATACCTAAAATTGAAAGGGGGACATCTTTGACATTTGTGCTGTAGGTTTAAGTACACTACTCACCTATAAATCGTGTACTCGTTGGGTGGTCCTGAGAGTGGGTCACTGCCATTCCTTTTTCCAAAGTTGCCAGTCCACAAAACAGTGTCATTTAAGATCACAATGGCGGATAGAGAGGGAAGGCTGATGGGGTTGATGCTTTGCCGAAGCAAAACGTCCACCTGGAAGAGAAAGGAGTCCATTTTGAAAATATATCCCAGTTAGATTGATATGTAGATTATTTCATTAAAAAAATTTACTTAAAGACGAGAGGCTTCATATTTAGCATAAGATAAGAAAGTGAAGAAGCGTATTTACCTAAATGTATATAACCCTTTAACATGGCTTGCAACTTGCTTTTATTTCCATGATATAAATAGATTTATATAATTAGATCAGATTACCACCTAAAAAGGTCTAATATATAAGTTTCTATTGTACCTAAAATATTCAGGAGGAGGTTTTATGGTTTAAAAAAATAATTTTAAAAAAATGAACTCATCCTGGTTCTCAGATCAAGTCAAGTTTATTTGCAGTCATTAATCACAAAAAGGGAGTCATAACAATCTGTGAAGATAATTTGACCTTTGGACCCCAATGAGACTGAAGAAAATGACAATTTTAATTTAAGAACAGAATGTCTTAGTTAGGGTTGGGTGGAAATGACTGTGTGCCTTTTCATGTAATTTTTCTAGAGCTATTTATCACAAGTGTGCACTTTTCCTTCCTCTAAAGTAAAGTAATTTCGTCTGAAAATTGTAGATGTGAGCAACATGTTAAACACACAGTCTGCATTTTCAGAGGGGCGGCTGTGAAAAGCACTGAATCACAGCCATAGTTATTGTAACTGCTTGATGATGAGTAATTCAGAAATCTACATTTCTCTGCCATCACAAGCCCTGCTACTGTCGTTAAATGCTCTGCCCTCATGCAGAAATTTGAATTAATCAAGACAAAAGGCACATCATCATCAACAGGGAAAGTAAGTTCCTACATCTACTCAGTACAGTTTTGAGGTACTTGTACTTTCCAATGAGTATTTTCATTTTGTGGTACTTTATACGTTTTAGTCCACTAAGTTCATCAGACAGCCAAGCTTATAAAATGAACAGGTTAAACTTTGGTGTCCAACCTTTCTGGCTTGTGACTCCCTTACAAAAAATGCAGTGGTCCCTGGCCACCTTGTCACATTTTAGATGGTTTGATAGCAGTTGCAGAAGAGAGTGAGTGAGTTTATCTTCTTTCCTTCCCCATTAATCATCACACAATCCCACAGATTTATGACCAGTTCCATTAACTTAACATTTAACTGATGCAGTTTCACTACAGCAGGGGTTGAAATACAGACATTTTTACTTGTAACAAAGTATATTTTCATGGTGGTATTGGTAATATTACTTCTAAGTACTTTTACCACCACTGCAGGGCAGACATTGAGGTAGGTATGACATAAAGCCATATGTTGCTGGTTTGGTTGCTCACAAGGCAGAAATGAGCAAAAGAAAATCTGTTATGAATTCACTGTTCATTGTTATGAACATCAAACGGTTCATGTGCTTAATTTTCATTCTCCATTTGGCTTTTAGTGTTTGGTCGCAGAGTCAAACGGAAATTTAACTGGCAAACGTCTGATCAACTTGAAATTAATGAGTCATATTTTGATGCTAATATTCATTAACTACATGCAGTTGTGTCCTACTTACTAATGTGCACACACTACTCTTTATTCTCAGATTGTCTTACGGGTAATAAGGTGTCAATATATTTAATTGCACGTTGTTTATTAACTGGGAATACTGCTGCAGAAATACAACCTTCTCTCAGACAGTTTTTTATCCACTACTTCTTTAATCTCCTTCTGTCGACTGCAACAGCATTTGGTGTGAAGGATTACCAGGGCCAGCCTGTAAATTTCCTCGGACTTTGGTGGGCATGACAGAAATACGACCTCAGATTTAAATCTGTGCATGATAAATGACTCTTCTCACCTTTTCCAGGGCCTCTTTCAGACTAGGGATAGGATGTTCCAGCTGAAGAGGAGAGGGGAAACGGGGACACATCATCTCTGATTTTGCATTACGACCCATGCCGTCATCTGAGTGGCAGATGGGAAATGGGAAAAGAGAAAGAGAGAAAGAAAGAGCCGAGGAATCACAAGGGGACAGGCTATTGTAGTTTCTACTTGATATTTTGAGAGTATAGTGTATCAGCGGCACAAAGGCCATCCAATAATTCCCTCTGCTTCCTGATGAACCCCCTTGATCTTATACAATTTGACAAGTTGTATGATATATACAACTCGCCGATCAAAACAATGTGAATGAGAACCTTTGGATCTGTGCTTTTCCCATTAATAATGTTACCTGATATCCTTTTGCTTATCTGTAATCATATGATTACATACCTGGACTGTATTTTGGAGAACAGAGCATTTTGTCTGTCAGCTCTGTTTGAAGAAATGACACTAAAGAGCCTGCTATAATTAAGTGTCAACATACACTGAACAAAATTATAAACGCAACACTTTTGTTTTTGCCCCCATTCATCATGAGCTGAACTCAAAGATCTAAGACTTTCTCTATGTACAAAAGGTCTATTTCTCTCAAATATTGTTTACAAATCTGTCAAAATCTGGGTTTGTGAGCACTTCTCCTTTGCAGAGATAATCCATCCACCTCACAGGTGTAGCATATCAAGATGCTGATCAGACAGCATGGGTTTTAACACAGGTTTGCCTTTGGCTGGCCACAATGAAAGGCCACTCGAAAATGTACAGTTTCTCTGCATTGGGGGGTCTGGTGGGGTCCGGAAACCAGTCAGTATCTGGTTCACCACCATTTGCCTCACGCAGTGCAACACATCTCCTTCGCATAGAGTTGATCAGGTTGTTGATTGTGGCCTGTGGAATGTTGGTCCACTCCTCTTCGATGGCTGTGCAAAGTTGCAGTCAGGTCGAGACCCCGAAGAGGACGATGAGCATGCAGATGAGCTTCCCAGAGATGGTTCCTGACAGCTTGTGCACAAATTCTTTGGTTATGCAAACCGATTGTTTTGTAGGTGAAGATGCTAGATGTGGAGGTCCTGGGCTGGCGTGATTACACGTGGTTGTGAGGCTCATTGGATGTCCTGCCAAATTCTCTGAAACGCCTTTGGAGATGGCTTATGGTAGAGAAATTAACATTAAATTCACGGGCCATATCTCTGGATATTCCTGCAGTCAGCATGCCAATTGCACGCTCCCTCAAACGTGACATCTGTGGCATTGTGCTGTGTGATGGAACTGCACATTTTCGAGTGGCCTTTTATTGTGGCCAGCCTAAGGCACACCTGTGCAAAACCCATGCTGCCTGATCAGCATCTTGATATGCCACACCTGTGAGGTGGATGGATTATCTCGGCAAAGGAGAAGTGCTCACTAACACAGATTTTGACAGATTTGTGAACAATATTTGAGAGAAATAGGCCTTTTGTACATAGAGAAAGTCTTAGATCTTTGAGTTCAGCTCATGATGAATGGGGGCAAAAACAAAAGTTTTGTGTTTATAATTTTGTTCAGTGTATTTAAACCAAACTTATGATTTAAAGCACCTCTTGTACATTTGGAAGAAACGCATATTCTGGCTCTGTGTTTGACATTCACACCAACTTTCCTTGATTGAGTGGACTACAATTAAAATATTTCACTGTCTTTTATTTCACATGTACATCTCAAATGTTATCTTTACACTTTAATTCTGAAATACAACTTCTACTGTTTGAGAGGTTGAACATAATGAAACGTACCGTCAAGCTTCAAGCATTTACAGTGTTTTAACTGACAATGCCATCTGAAACCTTGAACTTCTTATGATGCTGTCAATTACAGTATACAAACTCCCAGCCAGCACAACAAATGTGAGCTAATATTTTAGCGAGCCCACACTTTCTCATAATTACTAGATGAAGATCATACAATAAAGGGGCGGCTTTATCTCTCAATTACGAGATTTGCATCTCTTAATTATAATAATCTATTGATTATCAAAGTTGCAGTAGAAACTGAGGTTGCAGGTCGCTGTGGATTATTAAGATCAGATAAGAAGGAGCATCCAGAGTTTAAGCTGCAAGCTAACTGATATGATGCAGTGTTGAATGAAATAAACAAGGAAGAACTTACAGTAACTGGATATCACAGGATCACAGAATCAAAATAATAAATTATAAACCATTCCCTGATGATGAAATGAAAATGCTTACTTTGCTTGATGTTAAATGAGTCATCCATTAAGTATGTTTTGGCAGAGTTGTTTGTAGATTGTTTTAGTCCTTAAGCAAGTCTTAAGTCAGGCTACTTTGCATAAAGTAATGGAATCACACACCCACCTACCTTTTTAAAGTTTTAAAAGCTTTTTTGCTTTTATTTATGATAGGTCAAGTGTCAAGGCAGTTACGTCTCAAATAGGTCACAACTCATTATTATTTGCAATGTTTTACATTTGAGTTAGCCTGAATAAATACATGGTCTAAAAAACTTTGGGGAAAAAAATCGAATACCTTAAAAGTCCGTTGGAAAATATAAATACAGAATGTCTAAGATGAAGATTACTCAGCCTCAAGACATTCTTCACCTGACAGCGACACTATTTCAGATGTTTTCCACAGTTACCAACAGTGTTCTTACCTGGCAGGACTTTTGGCAGCTGATATTGCCAGAAGAAGCATCCTGTCATCACCAGAGATAAAACGAGGAAGAACACCAAACCCAGCTGGGTCCATTTTACCTTCATCCTGTTGGTTTTAGTGAGTCCTTCAAATTTAACGGTAGCAGCAGGAGCAGCCACAGCAAGAGTTGGCTTAAATACAGAAAGACAGGAACACAGACACACAACAACACACAGCAGGTTACTAATGAGAGTGTAAAACTTCTTAAAGTTTCCCATATTTGTGGATTCTTTAAACAGACATTCTCCTCCATGTTATCTGTTGATTTTTGTTTTGCAGGTTGGCAGAAATCCATGTCAGCGTTTTTCCAGTGCAAGTGAACCCTGTTGCACTTAATGGTAGTCACCACCTGATTCTTCACAGGTCAGAGCATGTTGGACTGGATTATCAGTGACCCAGAAACCTTCTTACCACTCAATCAATATCCTAAACATTTACTTACTTACTGAGCATGTGATTCTTACACCCCAAAGGCAGCAACTGGTGTCCCATGGAGGATTTCCTGAGCAGGAGAAAGGCACAGACACAGACTCCCAACTCTGATTTCTCACTGACTGTGCTGTAATCCTGGGCCATCGCCGCTCCTGTCCCTCACAATTCAATTTCCTCTTGCAGCCACAGGCTGTTGACATCATAATCCCCAGATTTACTCCACCGAAGCGGCCGGGGAAGTCTTAATCCTTAATCCCTGGGAATCAATTCACTTCTGTCCAGCTTCGCCTTGTGGAGCCCACCACCGAGCCGCACGAGCTGACAAAGATGGCACCCACTCAGCCAACACATGACAAGGTGATAGGGTGCGCCTTTTAGCCAGAGCATGAGATGAAAAGTACAATCACTTGGGTGCAGCGAATTTGGATCAAGTGGGTGAGGGAATGACTTGGGATGTTGAGAGGAATTTAGGTAATGACTGAGCCTTTTTATCTAACCTTGACTCACATCTGTCTTTGGAGGTTTTATTGAGAGCCTGCTGAAAATTTTCCTTGATTACCAAATAATCTACAAACCAATGTCATTTACATCGATGTTGTTATGAGCCACTAAGAGTCTACCATTTTCTTACATGGCAGTTATACTGTTGTGTGATATAATGATGATGATCTATAGATAAATATATAAATAGTCTGTATAGAATAATGATTTGTGAGTTCCAACTTCTCCCCTCTAGTAGGTGCTACAGAGCACTTCCTGCCAAAACAACCAGACACAAGAACACTTTCTTTCCACACGCATCACTCTAAAAAACAGTTAAATCAGTCATATAGTGTCAACTACCCTGTAACATTGAACATCCACTGTAGCTACAAATTATTTTTGTATTTTTATGTACGTTTTTGATTTTAATAAATCAAATTGTCATTGCCTTTTTGTCAGTGGGCTCAAAACTCACTCAGAAATGGAGCACACGCCTGTTTTCTCCGTTGCTTGCATCAGCCACTACTCTGCTTTTAATGTGAGGTCTCCGGCTCGGATTCAGCTCTGTGCAACACCATAAAACAACCGGCTCACAGCAAAACACAGGCTCCATGTAAGGATATAAAACAACAATAAAGGTTTATGTGCTGAAGCCCATCAGACCAAACAGGTTTAGGTGATGCCGAGTAAGAACAAAGTGAGCATTAGTAAAGCTGGAGAAACACAGAGAAAGTCACGTTAGCTCGCAGGCTAACGCCGAGAAGTTGAAAGGTTATCCGATGTAAAGTCATATAACGTTAGCTTTCCACATTACTTCATCAACTAACGCCACCCATGTTACTATCACGTGTGCCACTGTTAGCCTGCAGAGAGGATGTAACGGTAAAAAGCAAATGTGGAGCGATTTGTTTACTAAAGGTAGCCTATAGTGATGCAGCTAGCTAACGCTACAGTAGCTCGGACCTGCCGCTGTTTTCTTCGTAACATTCAGTTTGTGTTTATTGTGGTTTTACCGACACTCACAGCTTCTCCACCTCTCCATCGCTGTAACTTGACGTGACCCACATAACACAAAACACTGCAAGAAAACGGTCACAACAACCCAGAGGAAGGAAGAGCCATCCACTAACACTAGTTACAGTAAAGTTACTGCGGTCTAACTGTTATAAAGTGTGACACAGTGTCGTTATAATATTCAGTCCAGCTCACTAACCGTTTCATTATCATCCAATATATGTTGCTGTGCTGACATTGCTGAGCCTCCGGAGACAGATTCACAGATAGTAAAGATGAAAGCAGCAGTAGAAGCTAACGCTGTAGCACGTCGGCTAAATGAAGTAAATGTACCGTGATGGATTAGTTCAACCTGCAGCTGATAAAAATATTACTGTAACGTTGCAGTGGGAATTTACCTGAGTTTCTAGCTCGGTCTGCTCTCCATGCCTGTCTATAGCCGCTGTCACTCGGCCTTTTTGCGGGAGGATTGTGCCGATATGCGTCTCGCTGCGCTGAGTGAAGTAACATTAAGGAGCCGGTGTCGATCCGCCTCTGAGACGGGAACGTTGAAATAACAGAGCCTGAACATGTCTGAGTGAAAAGCCACAGCCTGCATGCTGGTGTTTCTGCGTTTATTGCTGGATTTCTGTATGACAGTGGTTGTGTTTTGGATTATGCTCGCTCATGACTTCAAGCGAGCACGCGTACGAGCACACGCCTGGTTGGAATCTTAGAACCGCACCGCTAGTGGCCGCTGGAAACTACATAATGCCCCTTTAACGTGTACATAACCTATCATCCATCACTGTCTAAATATAAAATCTAAGCACTTTTTTAAAATTAAAATTGGACTTTGTATTTTTGATGTATTGGGTATTTAATCCATTGGATTAGAAAAAAAACTACAGAGCCCCAGAAGTCCTCAAAGATGACTATTTATCTTTTGTGACCACAATCTTTCAGAATTGTCCTGTGCCACAAAAACAGAGCAGGTGGGAATCGTTTTTTTTTCTAAATGTTTAAATGTTTTTCAATTTGATTTCCAGAAAATATAATATTCATGATTTAAAGTAATATCTAACCTGATAGAGGATTTGATCTATCAACTTCTAGTGGGAATCTTACATAAAGATAACATATTCTGAAAACCTTGGTCATTTTTAGATTTTCTATCCATCATTGGGAACATCCAGTGACATCCATCATTCCTTCACTCAGCTTAATCACAAGATATTAATGGTTTAGCTTAGTAATGTGTTTTGATGCTTATAAGTATGATGATGGGGAAAATGAAGTGTGAACGCGAGCTGCTGCTGATCCTGGTTGCATAACCTGTGATCGCTGGAGAGCACAACAGCTGGCCCATTTCACCAGAATCAGGACAAATACACACACACACACTCACACACAGCCCTGTAACCACCAGAGCACTAACCATCACACCAGTTTAATGTGTTTTTGTTTAAAACACATTTTCTTTGTATTTGTCGCTTCAGTTCCTGCATGTATTTGTGTGTGCAGGCATGAGTTTGCGCAGCTTGTATGTGCATGAGGTGAGTGCTTTTACCTGTGCTTGAACCCCGTCCACTGAGGTCTCTCTGAGGACTTTACTCCCTGCCTTGCCCATGGTTTCGCTGCACCGGCTGTTAACATGAAAAACAAAAACAAGCACTTACAGCTTCTGCACAGAATTTGTCTTATTTCTTCTCTATTTAGCACTGCAATACGGAAGGTTTAATGTCATATGAATGTTGTTGCATACTGTGATATTGCTCTCTGTACAGAACGTCCACAGATGTCAAAGTAGAGCAGGAGAGAGCAAGAGAAGCAAAGATCATTTTTGTGGAATAATTCCTTATTGCTGGAGCAGCGTGGACTGCTCTGCAATATAAGAAAGTGATATGATAGACTGACACACTGTACAACTAACAGTGAACTCATAATCATAAGCTGTAAGGGAGTGCCAACTTTTGGAAGGATTGTTCCTACAGTAAATATTTTTTTCTACGCTACCAGTATGACTAAGAATGTTACATCTCTCTATTTGCATGATGGCTCTCTTTTGAAATACATTAGTGTCATTCTGTATGACAGAAAGTAAGATTCACCAACTACTGCAGCATGAGCAGAACAGCAACCCAGTGTTGCACTTGGCACTTGACAAGCTAGACAAGCTAGAAGTATGGTAAAAGGTGTCAGTAGTGAATACGGAGAAACTGCTACACTTAGGGAGCAAGCACAACAAACAGAATAGCAGCAAGTCATGTAGACCTGTCCATTAAAAAACTAAACACAAACGAATGTAATTATTTACCCTCTTCGGGGATGAAATTACTTCGAAGATAAAATTGAAGATGGCATTTGTTGATGAATGAACCATTGTTAAAGGCAGCTGGATCACAACCCTCGCACAATGAGTGTTATGTTGTTTTCTTGCTGAAATGATTTCTTATGTTCATACTTTTCAAAAAAAGGTTTTTAATGTGACTGTAAGGTCAGCACAGTGGATTGTGTTTTCTTTTTTACCTTCAATCATACTGCAATGAAGCAAACAAAAAAGAAAAATGTTTTGTGTAGCTTGACATTTCTAGGCCTCTGAACAAATTAAAATTCCATCAAATATTCAGCACCAAGTTAAAACCTGACCTGGCATTTTGGGACTTTTTCAGTGTTCCAGGGCTAATGAGAAAATTAACCACTGCTTACAGAGCAACTTCTGAAGTGCTGACCAGGTTGCATCATTTCAGCAGTGTAATAGTCTGTCATACTTCAAGTATAGTGTAGAAAGCATCTGTGATCAGTTTAAGTCCCCGGAATAAGGCAGGTTATAATTCTTGGGAGGTCAGAGCTTTGTAGACCTGGCTAAAAGGCAAATCAGCCTGCTAACATGCTCACAATGATAATGCTAACATGAATATGTTTAGCAGGTATAATGTTTACCATGTTTATCGTTTGAGTAGCAAACATGTACAGCTGAGGCTGATGAGAATGTTTTTCGTTTTTAAAGTTATTACAATTCTTCCTGAGGGGAAGGTCCCCAGATTTATGGCAATGCATCTGGTAGTTTTTGAGATACACAGCTGACATATTTACCAGTTAATACATTAACAACTTTAGTTAATGGAATCATTGGACTGCCTTTCATTAAGATTAATACATCACATTGATTATTCTAATGCATTATGCATCTTGAGTAGCAATTGTTTGCTTAATGTTGTATTTATGAAAGCGGTTAATTGCCTTATACTTTATCTTCTAAATTTGCTTTGCTCTTTTCTTGATCAGCGGTCTCTGCAGTGACCCAGATTATGCCAAAGATCATTCAAATTTCATGTAATCAATCAGTCTAGAGTCATAATGTCCACTGCCATTGTGCCATTCACAAGGAAACTTGTCACACTGAGACAAAGCATGCATCACATTCACAGTTTTGCATTATTCTGTAATAAATCCCTTTACTGTAAAACTTGTGATAACACAGATGTTTGTATGCAAAGGTTTGTAGAGTTTAAAGAGTATTGTGCGCAGTGTATTACAGTGCAACATTCACTCTCAGATTTTCATGGTTTAATCAGATTTAGTTAAAAATCTCCACTGACTTATGTGTTCATGCTGCTAATCATGAAAGCAGATATTCAGCATTGATTTCAGTATTCAATGTGTTATCATATATTCAGATGTAGACATAATGACACTATAAGAAAGCATGCACCAACTTTTTAGATATAATCTTTAAAACAAGTCTGACATCCCAAATATCCTCCAAATTTTAATATTTATTGTGTTCCGTAAGATGCAAAGCAACAAGGAAATGCAGTCGTAATTATTGAGTTTTTCTGATTGATTCAGATTTTGAAGATGCAAATTACATTGACCTTTTCAGAACACATATTATCATGTTTATAAGAAATGCAGAACATTTGTAAATGAAGTGATGTGCCACATGCACAAACCGTCTAGAATCAAGGCTGTGGAAAAACATGTTACATAAGCTGTAATGAATCAAGTACCTCTTTTCTAGGCCATGAAATATCCTACATTGATTAATTCTGTGTACACTTACCTCGGGTTCTGAATCTACTGACTGCTTTTTCCCACCTCTTTGTCAAAACGTTAAGACAAAAATATTCCGCTCTTGTTTCGCCTGGGTTTGTGAGCTCGGAGCGGGATGCTGACAGATGTTAGTATCATGGTTATGGCTAAATCCTGCTTGTATCAAACCCAGCATTCTGGATTAACCATCACAGCCAATGGCCACATCTGTCATGGCATAAAAATAGGTGGCCTTTCAGTGTGTGGCATGTGTTTTGTGTGCATTTTTTTTGCATTTGCATTTGCATGGCATGTGGTTTAAGGAGGACAAGTTCATTCAGCGAAACAAAAAGCCAACTGGTTGTACTTGCTGACCTGATCATAATTTTTTTAACTGACAGATTACACAGTCCATTGATGAGGTTATGAATCTTGAGGTTGGTGGTTTTAGTGTATGTCCCAACAAGAAATCAGATCTTGCACTGACTTTCTTTTAGAAATTTCAAAAGTGTCCCACAAGAAATCTGATGAGGCTGCTTTCTGTGGGCCCTAAAGTGTGAAACACCCTCTCCTTGGACCTTAGAATGGCAAACTCTCTTGGTATTTTTAAAAAGAAATTTAAGACACATCTTTTTAACTCGGTGTTTAATTTGGTAACATTCCCTTTATTTATTTAGGTATTTATTTATTGTTTTAAAGACACCTCAGATACCTGTGGCTCAATCTTGTTAATGGCTTTTTGCAGACTGATAACATAACTAGTTCATCAAGACCTTCCTTACAGCAGTATATTGTTCTGGTTTCTTTAAGTTTCCATATTTTAGAAGCATATTCCTTTGCCTCATGCCTTTTGGATCCTTTTCACAGGAACGCACACACACAAAAAAAACATTTGGCAGAAGCTGAATCTAAACTAGACCTCTCTCCCATGACTCCGGCTCTGTTTTGGATTTATTGAAGACGTCTGACCTATTTATCTGCAATGTTCATTTCATGGTGAATACTAACATGGAGAACATCTACTTATGGGTCAGATGCAATCTAATACAAACTAATTAATACATATGTGCTCATACTGGCATGTTGTCCGCGACAGCAGTAATGCAAAAAGTGGATGACCAGCATGCTGTGTGTGCTGGTACACAGAAGCATGAAGTGAACTGAATTTGTACATTTGTTCAAAAAACATGAAATGCTCTTGGGCACTTAGAGCAGACATGATTAGGGAATAAATATGTAGGCAGCTCACTTTAATGCACATGGCTTATTGCAAGCTGCTGTGGTCACTGGCACTATGATTACGCACATGATCACTGGTGATTAAAGAAAGTCTGCTGCATTAAGTGTTCACATCAGCATTACCCAATCCTCATGTCACATTAATACCTTATCTGGATTTACACAGGGATTGATAACATCAGAGTTTTGAACAAAGACAAAGGACTTAAGTATATATGGTGGACTATGTTTTAGTGAAATAATGTGTTAAACATTATTCTAAAAAATGTTTTTTTGTGTGCTGAAAAATCTCTTAAACACCCTTAACACTTATATTTATTCATTGCAGCCACAAAAGTGCTTAAAGTATATCAT